GTGTGTGTGTGTGTGTGTGTGTGTATGTGTGTGTGTGTGTGTGTGTGTGTTTGTGTGTGTGTGTATCTATACATGTATATATATACATATATATATATACAGAGAGAGAGAGAGAAAGAGAAAGAGAGAGAGAGAGAGAGAGAGAGAGAGAGAGAGAGAGAGAGAGAGAGAGAGCGAGAGAGAGAGAGCGAGAGAGAGAGAGAGAGAGGAGAGAGATACATACATATATATATATATATATATATATATATATATATATATATATATATATATTAAAATATATATATTACATATATATACATGTATATATATATATATATATATATATATATATATATATATATATATATATATATATATATATATATGTGTGTGTGTGTGTGTGTGTGTGTGTGTGTGTATATATATATACACATATACACTCACACATATACATGTAGCGCGCAATAACACATATCCTTAACGATAGTGAGAATAGCAGTAACTTTTGCCACTAAAAGGTAATAACACTGACAATTATGGGTCGCACGTAACGTCTCATTAATGAATGACATTTGCCAAACACGACATGAAACAATTTACTCGTAGACAGACATGCACTTGCATTAAAAATCATTCACTTTTTGTTCGTTGTTAATCACACCTATACGTAATCTGGCACAATCACAGCCACGAAACACGTTCACTAAACACTGCTTTTCACAATCACAATTTTGTCACCGACGTGTCCTTGGCGGCCTAATTTCTGGGCCGACACGCCGGTTCCATTAGAGGCTGTAGGCCTACTCGCGCACTGCAGGTTTAACCGTGACACAAGTTTTCTCATATTTTCTGAAGCTCGCATAATTCGGGCGTATTTGTTTAGTTAATTAATAAAGCGACTTGGCAGAGCAACGTCGACGCTGCGACAGGCGAGAGAGGGGCGGGGGAGCTGGCCAAGGGCTGGACACTGCAATCACAAGATCCACACGACGGCGGTCGGTGATCACTTCCCCTCGCCGTCACTATCACTTGGGCCATTAACCGACACTTCCCCTCATCCCGCACACTCCCTGTCTCGCGATACCGAAGGCAGCTCTCACTGCCCCGTCGACGCCGCCGTCACCCACGGACAGCGCCGCGACTCGATGCTACAGACCTTCCTGATCCGGCTGCTCGCCAGCGGGGACGCTCACTGAGGCTGCGAGGGAGCTGCGGCGCCGAGTGCGGTTGCGGCGCGGGCGTGGTGGGGGATGGTGACGGCGTGGCTGCCTCGCCAACACTGCCCCTCGCGACCCACAACACCATCTCCACCACCACGCCCCCCGAGCACGCGCACACACGGCCGCCAGCCACTGCCGCACATACACACACACTTACACAAACGCACACACGACGCACGCACTCACATGAGCCCTCGCAACGTTCGTAAACCACCTTCTGAATGGGGGCCGTGAGAAACGTCGACGCCATACACGGGGGAGGACCAAGTACCCTGGCGCCTCTCGACAAAGCCTCCGTCTGCAGATTTTTTACACTTTTCGTGATACCGCACTGACGACGCTTCGAGACTTCATGAACTTTGCTCGGAGGCTCGATCGATTCAGCCCATGGATAATATCGATTACCCGACGCCAGTGACCGCAGCAAACGATTACCAGCGAGGCCGCCTCCTCCTCCTCCCCAAGCAGACTGTGAGTCACCTGTGTTTCCCCAACAGCTGCATCCACAGAGCCCCGCAGTAGGCAATGAACCCTCCTCCACGGCCCTTAAGCAAGGAATAAAATTTCAAGCTGGGCGAATCAGACCCGAGGAAATCGACCCTTTGGGAACCGGTGCACATGTCCGGCAAGCAGCTTCTTATCTCAACTTTCTGGGCGGAAATATCAGCAAATAAACTTGAAGACGAAGATGAACGGAAGAAGAAAAAAACCCGACATTTACTTTACCCCCAACGAAAAGTCGAGCAAAAAAATCAGATCAGTGGACAACTTCAGTCCTCATTCCAAAGCTTTTTCCCCCCCCGCTTCGGTTCACGGAGCACCGATGCGGCGTCACTCCAGCTCTCGGCGCGGATAAGTTATGTAAGCATCTTGTTTCTGACTCCCCAAACCTCCTCCTTTCTCGTCTTACCAGCGTCGACCGCAGCCCGCCTTCCCCCATCGCCGTAGAACCGCACCCCCCACCCCCCAACCTTGTATAATAGAATGCGTCTTCTCTTGACCAGACGATAATAGAGTCAGTCGGTGTTGTAGAAAGTCTTTAATCTCCTATTTATTTATTGCTATTTTCCGTGTCGATCATTATACTTTTATTTTCATCGCGTATTGAAATTGACCAGATATGTTACCCTTGCAATTACAAATAGCAATTGAAGAACAACACATGAATTGCTAAACACAGGCGAAAACCGGTTGCTTTAATATTCCAATAATACTTGCATATTATCTTACAGCTGAGATAATCTACGTGACTACATCACTACACTCTGGATTATATATCGTTGCCAACTATCTTACGTATTCGCATAAGCAACAGCGTTTAAGCGTACTACATATACATGATTATCACATACATTACTCCTGTTTATCTACACCAGCATAACTACTGCATCATCTCCACATAGATCACGATATCAATACTCATGTAACACCAACATATCCACCCCATATACTAAAATGCAAATAAATATAATCAGCACTACCAACACAGCTGCTAAACACCACATGTATCCTGCCATCACGACCCAAACAACACACACGCAGCATGTAGGAGTGAGGCTACCCGAATGTCCGCAACACATGCTTAACGAGTAGCAGCTTGACATGTTTACACGCTCAGCCAAAACGTATTGGGAAGCCTTAATGCCCCAAAGCTTCGTGGTCCAAGGCTGGTGTTAAGACCCCATCATTTAGGTACTTCATAGAACAACTTATGTGCGACGGAAACGCCAAGGATTAATCAGAAAACCAAGGTCAACAGCAACATCCAAAAAAAATTCCTAGTAATCACAATGGCGTAAGTGCTTATTATCTTTAATCAACCCCTAAATCTACACTCAGCGAACGCCAATCACAGCAATAACACTTATATAGTACTTCATACCTCTTATCAAGTTGATTGTCACCCAAACGAAAGGCGAAGAGTGAATTACCACACCTTAGCCGAGCCCTGCCTGTTAATTGGTCTCATTTCCTCCCTATTAGGACTTTCTGGGCACCCAATTGGCTGAACAGTTAGCACCACATCAACTGGGTGATTAGCTTATTTTAGTCTAGTAATTACAGCGGGTAACACGTACAAACCGTTCAAGAATTGCTGCGAAGCGTGTTATCGATAAGGTAAAAATCTGCATTAGATTAGTTTTATTCACAAGAACGAAAATAGTATGAGCAGTTAAATGAGGGTTATGACACCAGGGGCGCCGAAGCGAACAAAAAAGAAAGAAAGAAAAAATAAGCTATTCTCGGGGCATTTTTTAGCTATAACCGGACCTACATTGGTCTAATCTATTTTTTTAAACTGTGGTCCCTAGGGGGGGGGGGAGCCTGACCTTGAGTTGGGGGACCCCTCCCTTGACGCCCCTGTGTGACATATAAACACATCAGGTTTGGACTGACATCAGGTGTCAACCCATATAACTGAAGCCTTAATAAAGTACTCTACTTCAATACAAGTCTTTCAGCATAATGGCCCAACTGCCACCTGCCATGCGCCGCCCCTCGCCCCGTCTATTGGCGGCTTGGAGAACTAAAATAACCTGGGAAATGTGCTTATGATGCTACTAAATATTGGATTTTCTCCAGAGCCCGCGGATAAATTCGGAACATTTTCTTAAAAATATAGTTGGTTTATTCTTCTCATGCGGTTGTATTGCGCGTACTAACTGAACAATCTAAGGGAAGTAAATATCACAAATAAGATTATATCTTGAAGCTATTACTTTAGGTGTGCTGTGTCAGAAGCTGTAAGAAGAGATGAGGAAATATTACTTCTTGGTAGAAATGACTTGCTTTCATCTATATTTACAAAAAGCAGAAATTACAAATTCTGGTACATCCTTCGCTTCCTTCCTTAATGTGCTTCTTGTGTTTCCTCCCTCTTCACCTCTCTCTCTCTCTCTCTCTCTCTCTCTCTCTCTCGTGTGCGTGCAGTAGTTAACTAAATGCCATATTTTTTCAGTATATAAACAAACTTCACAAGAACCAACTTAATTAAGGATCTACACCTATAATTCCAAGAAAGGCTTGAAGTGGAATGAAAATACATCCATAAGTAACACTGCAAACACAATGAAAGCGAGTCTTGCTATTGTTGCTCCACGATAATCCACTTATAATCGTAAAATCATTTTTCTCCAGAGTTCCTCACACATCTGTATGGTTTTCATTCACAGCAAAACGCAAATTCGCATCTTTTAAGTGTGCAAGTTTCTGTCCTACTAACGTCCACGACTTTAGAGCATAGATAATGAAGTTAGAAGCACTCAGCTCTCAGTCACTATACTCAGTACCCCATACAATGTTTTCCTTATTAATGTTCCTGATCTTCATGTAGAGGACAGGTATACACGTAAACAAGTCTTGAATATATATATTTATTTCCTTGTAAAAATAATTTAAGATGATAATCAAATATTGTGAATACTGACAAAGGTTATTTATTTATCAAAACAGACATACTTCCTTCCACAAATATCACAAAAGCTGCTGAATTAATAGAATTATTATCATCATTTTAATTCTCATCTACTAAAATTTTATATGAACTCAATAAGTAGAATTAAACTGATTTATAGAAATGTACATTAACTTTGCATGTAAAAAGAAACAAAATAAAATATGCCTCCACTGCAAAGCATTGCATAAACAAAGCTGAGGAAATGTCCCTAAGATCTTAACTTTCAAAAACTTCTCCAATGAATCAGTAAATAATGCCATTCAATATAAAAATAAAAAAGGATCCTTAAGATTACAGTAGAAAAAAATCTTAATTAAATAAAGACATCAAACAAATACATGTACTTTCATATCACAGTTTATTATTCTATTACATTTGTTAGCTTTTTATACAAAAATTACCCTTTACATTTTGTGGAATCTTTGTGGATACATCCAGTTCATGAACTGAATTCCCTCTCCATGTAGTTCAGATGCAAGGAACTGAGACCATAAGTCGCACAAAAGCTTCTAGTAATACTCATTGATATAAACTGTGGAAATACTTCCATCTTGCAGTAACCACCTTCAAAGTCTCTGACCCAACCATTATTGAGAGCTGTTGTATGGGAATTTATAGATCAAAAATTAAACAAAATATATTTCTCAATAAGGTCTAGCACTATCCTCTATACATGATTATGCATATGTTAAATTAACATCAAAAGTCCTTTGCCAAACTGGCTTTTTTTTTTCCTTTTTGTTTGATATTATTAAAAAAAGAAAATAAATAGACCTTAAATAACTTCAGTGTAAATCTAATCTGTGAATATGAACACGATCATAATGCCTTCCATAATCCTGGCTGTCATATACAAATAAAAATATACAGCAGAGACCCCAGGAAATTGCATATTTGAAACATAAGAAAATGTACATTCTTCATAATGGTACATTAATTACCAAGTCTCCAAAGGCAACCTAGTCACGTATGCTATTATATTTAGCATATGTGAAGCTTAATCATTTAGGGCACAAAAATAAATTAATAAATTAATAAAAAAAATTCTTTGAGACAGAATAAGAGCATGTCATATGCCCTGTTTGGCACAGCGTTTACAGAACTGTAAAAAAGTTGCTACCAAGGCTTCTCAAAATAATTGTACAGCAAACTTTTGCCTTGTGTTCATACTCTATATATGGCTACATAGCAACCAGTCTCACAATCCATGTTTCAACATAATTATGCCTTATAAGCCACTTCGTCCACCATCGCTTTCATATTTACACACGCTTTCAATCAAATTCTACCATCTCTCTTGAAGAGGTAATCATTGGCAACTGGATATGGAAATTAATGCCCATTTGGAATGGAATGGTCAAAAATTACTTAAAAACATTACCTACTCATGTCATATATTACATTACCTAAGTTTAACAATTGGGAAAGCTAAGGCCTAATCAATGGCTTGGAACTCCATATATATTCAATGCCCGTATGGTATGAGGAGTGATAGAAAATGATTTACACTAGTTCTATAAAACTAATCAAGTTAAACTGGGTGACCTTTTGTGATGATAATGTTATGAAATGATGTGAAAGCATGATATGGTACAGGCACATTGTCTGTAGCTTTTTACTCATAATACCACTGGCATTTCATTTTTGATATTTTTTATGTTGATTGCTACAGGAAATTGATCTTCTAAATTTAGATCTGATTTCAAATATCATATAAAACTGTAGATTTTAGCCTGAGGTTCTTTACAAATTTCTGGAAATCTGGATAAGACCATTTCAGCAACTGATCTCGGACTTTTTGCCTTATGATACACTGTACAAGAAGTAAGATGTAATTAACGGACCTTATATAGATATGGTTAATTACAGTTTGAGGAGTGTTAAGAAGAATCAGCTGCCACATATTTACATTGTGATCTTGCATCTTCAGGCACTATAACTACATCACTAACCTCTAGTTTTAGGATGGGGAATGAAAGCCCTAGGCACTGCTATTTGAAATCTGGGGCACCTATTGATTATTACTTCATTCACCAACACAACTCCTGAAAAAGGAACATGGGCTTACATGATCCCACTCCTAAGGCTAACCCCTGAAGAATGAGGAGACCATCAATATCACTGTAATCCTACATATAAAAGCAGGAATACAAATGTGAATGGAACACTCGAGGTGCAGCTCCTTCAACCAGCACCTTCATGGTGGCAATGAGTAGCACTCTTGTACTTTCAATCTGGCACCATAACTGGTCATGGCTCCTCTTAGCTGAACGAGACAGCCACTACAGAACTTTTATCTGGAGGAAGATTGTAATTAATGAGATTTCAACAATACTTGAGGTGCACTGACTCACAGATAACCGATATCCCCTTACAGGCTAGTGTACGGAAAGCCTGTGGGTCGCACTTGCGTTGGGGCTTGACCAGGGGGAAACATGCCTGGCTGCATACAAGCAGAGTATAATGGCTGTTGAGTCTGTAAATTAAGAGGTAACTGAACGTGAGAATACGAGGGGTAGTTGGTGCTGATGGGAGCGTGAGGCATGGAGACCGGCACACCTGGATGGGTGTTGGGAGGTACAGCGGACGTGGGTGCTGCTGCGGAAACTGGAGGAGTGTTCCTGGCATCTTTTGGAGGTTCTTGTGGAGCTTGTGCTGCCTGCTGCTGTTGCATAACTTGTTGTGCTCCTGTTTCAACCCGTTGGTCTTGTCTCTGGTCTGGCTGTTGTTGTTGCTGCTGTTGCTGTTGCTGCTGCTGTTGTTGTTGAGCCTGCTGATTCTGTGCCCCAGTACTGTTATCATTATCATCGTCATCGTCATCACTCTGGCCCATGGCGCGTTCAGCCTTCTTGTCCATTCGGAAGAATTTGACGTTGGGAAACTGTTCCTTCATGAAGTGTCTGAATGAAGAATATCCCATGACCTTGACATCAGGCTCAAAGTGTTCACAGTATTCCTTATATGCATTGTGGATTTTCTTGCGCGTAATGTCAGCTGGCAGGTAAACTGGTGGCGATTTGCCAGATTTGTTTGGTTTCTTTGGAGTATTCGTGTTTGGTGAATATCGAGCAATGTAACTCTGCAAGAAAGCGGCCGCGTGCTGGTATGTGTCAAGTGGGAATGTGTTGGGGGGTTTCTTTCCGTGATTACCGTGAACTCTTGGTGTCACTCCATTCACCATGACGTGCTTTCTGATGGCTTTCAACTGGTAATGAGTACAGTTTTCCAAATACAGAAAAGCGTCTAAGCACACTTTCTTCCCCTGGAAAACATACGATGCCCTTAGCCTCTTTCTCTCTTTGTGCCGAGAGGTTTCTTCGGGATTCGCTAAACATGCCATCGTCACTCCCATCAGATACATGTCATGTTCATTCTTGGTCAGTTCGGCAATGTTCAGTCTGTGTCTAAATACAAACTCGGGATTCATATTCTTAAAGCAGTTGTCACCTTCACACTCGCATCCTTTCTCAAATCTTTCCCTCACCTGGTCACTGTTCTCTTCTAACTTGGTAGGATCTATACCTTCTGCTAAGAGATCTGCAAGTTTCCTTTTCTTTTTGACCTCCTTCTTGATCTTGGGTTTTGTTTCCTGTTCTTCTTCGTTTATGTCATTGGTGTTCAATGTCGTGTCTCCTTCCTGACTTTGCAAATCACCCATGTTGTAGTTTGAATTCATGCCATTTTGTCCATCTGCAAAATACAAATGATCAGTGTTGAACATAATGAATCCCTTAGAGTATCAAACTTTACAGCTAATAAACTTAGATGGAAGTCAGATCTGTCTTATCTATTTAACAAATTATGGCTAACAAATTCATATATCATAATACTCTCACATCATTGGCCTAATGTATCAATAAATTTCGTAGTAACTGACATTGAAAATACTGTCAGTTCTCGCCAATAAAGACCAGGACCAGAAAGTTGCAGTGACGGAGACTTACCCATATCAGTTGTCGACCAAATGGAATGTTCCAGGGGAGGAGGCTGAAGCTGTGACAACTGGTCTGCTGTCATGTGGGCAAGCTGAGGAGGTCCTTGGGGGGGTGGTGGTTGTTGCTGCTGCTGTTGCTGCTGCTGCTGTTGCTGCTGTTGTGGCTGCCCATTTGGCGCTTGCTGGTTGCTATTATTGTCAGCCTGGGACACTGGGGGATTCCCATGCGACTGCAAATAGGCAAACATATGAAAAATTCAGTTAACCTTTGAAATTCATGTCCTAAACAGATCACCTAAACTATTATGCACCACACTTAATAAAGGCAATCTAATCATTAAGCCTACTGGGTATGTGCAATTAATGTATTTCTTACTGGCATTTTTCTCCAGAGTAGATGTGATTTTTCAGGAACTTTAACTAGTTTCCATGAATAAATATAAGTATTCCAATAGCCTGGAAGGCATGTGACACAATGCATTTACACTCTTTGGTCCAAGGGACACTGCTTAACTTGGGAGTTGACATTCTTCATGAACTTTTCCTACCATCCCTCTTTTCCAGAGTTTCTATTTCACACTGTCTTCCTGTTCTTGATTAGTTCTACAACACTTCACAGTACAATGGCTTTCAGAATGAGCCACAAGAATTTAATTCCAATTCCACAACAAAAAATACATGAAACTGTAAAACACCAACTGCAGTTTGTTACCAATACTATCACTTTTGCCAGTTTCTGAAATCTTTACAATACAATTATTATGCACACACTATTTTGCTAAAATACGTGGATAAAAAAAAAAAAAAAAAAAAAAAAAAAAAAAAAAAAAAAAAAAAAAATTATATATATATATATATGAAATGTAATAGGATATACAGTACTATAGCCTTCTCTATTCTGAATGCATCAATAGCTAATCCCTAAAATTTATTTTTATATACTTAAACAATTTTTTTTCAATAAAAATAAACACTGCATTTCTCATATTAATTTACCCAATATAACACACACATCATTCACCCCTACGTCAAATACATGTCAATAAGCACGAAAACTCACCTGGTACATGATGTGTACGGGTTGGGGATGTATGTGCCATTGCGGCGGAGGGTGTGGGGGCACCATTACCATTGGCTGTGAGGTGTTTGTTGATAGATTCTGAGGTTCGTTCTGCAAAGGAGAACTCTGTAAAGCATAGTATCTTTCCTACTTCACGGCTGGCCACGCAGGAGCAAGGACGTGTATCATATAAAAGAAGCAAATAAGTGGATAAAAATAAGAAGATAGTTCAGAGAGAAGTTGGATTGCAATAAGAACCGAAAGTAAAGAGAATGCGCAAACATTAGAGGGGAAAATGCAGAGTAATACATTTATGCCCAAGTGTCTGAATCAAACTGTTTGTCCAGAGCAAATACTGAAGAGCAGGAATCAGAATTCACAACTGTTGCAAGCATAGTTATGACTTCGCAATTTCAAACGTTAAAGACTGTAATCAGAATTCACATATTGTGCAACCATGACTATAACCTCATAATGTGCAACACATGTGAAGAATGTAATAAAAAAATTTCAACCAAAGAAATCCCGCAACAGCATTACAACCGCATACAACAGCACTACGCTTATTCTGTGAGCAGGCCTTTTAATCAACCCTGATTTCACCATTACTGACTTCCAACTGAGCTGAGTAATGTCGTATTATACAAAGGGTTCAAAAACAAGTAAAAGTCTCTAGGCAAGTGCTTCCTCTAAATCCATACTAAACAAAATACCAAATATAAAGTGCAGAATCACAATTGCTCTCACATGCATTTGCTTGTTACACTACACAGGTGGTTTATGGCATCCTAGTTTATCTTTTAAATACGAAGTGTTTGGGAAAATATGAGGAAAGGTAAAGAGATCCACAAAATAATGACTGACTGACCTGTGCAGATGCGGGTGCTCCTAGGATATTAAAAGATCGAAGCACTTCGCTTGCCTCTTTCTCTGCTTGGCCATGGCCATCCATATCTCACTGTGAATCAGGGACCAAAGCAACATCACTGACTTGCCTTTACAATTAAAAACCTCTGATGATGACATAGTCTGTTACCTAGCAACTACATCCTGACTGATTCTAACAAGAAAAGGCACAGCAAACTTCAGTTATAGGCCTGACGTTAAAGAATTCACTCAAAATACAATACTTTCTCACTGAGCATTTTAAATTCCCTCCCTCACCTTGACCACATGTGTGTCTATAAATAGGCATTGTGTATCCCAATTCAATATCTGCTTATGTGGTTATGCTGGTATTTGCATTCATATTTACATTCCTTCTCATTAATAAACACAACATTACCCAACCCTTTTACAAAATCAGCAGAGTTTGTGCATGGATTGCAAACAGGGATTCATATATTCACCATAATTAATTATCTGACTTTACCTCCAGTTTACACTTTGTTTCTATTTAACCAACTAAATCTATATATATTACCTGTTATAAACTAATCCCATTCAACAAAAAAACAAGCAAAATGTGAGTATATGCATAAGTAAAACACACACACGCACGTGCACACATATATACACACACACACACACACACACACACATTCTCTCTCTCTCTCCCCCTCACTTTAATAACCCCCCCCCCTACTCACCCTCGACTTCCCACGATACCCAGCACCCTCCTGGTTATCGCCCATGCCAACTTTGACCTGCGCCCAGAACGGACCGACCACAACAAATGCCTCCAGAGCAAGCTATTCTGACCCTTACCGCCGATCACTTTGTAATTACATTTTGATTATACTCAAAATGTTTGTTAGAAAATCCTTATTCAGAATCACTACGTTTGTAATCATTATTACTGCCAACACTGTAGTTATTAAGTGTTCACGATTTAATTGTACTGCCATATCCTGCGTCCCCGTCCAAACATGTGACCACAGGAGCCTATGACTGCCATAAAACAGAGGGTCTGTACTGACACCCCTACAAAAGATTAATGTTTTCCCTTTTCTTAAGTTTAGTGACACTTTCCTAACTGTATCGTACAAAAACGACCCGTGATCACCTCCAAAACTCAGAGCCCAAGTCACTCTGCCTTCAGCATCGGCTCGATCAACACCGACGTCACACAGACGTCTCGCCCTTGCGGTATGGCACGACTCCCCTGCCTGGACGTCTCTGCGAGGCCCGTCCTCTGTACTCTAGCTGCTCAGTGCCATCACAGAGGAACACGTCCTTCCCATATTATTACACAGGCGGCAGCAAGTGGGGTAAACTCCACACATCATTACATTAGTGGCAGACTAGTGTGATAACTCCACACATTTCTTGCTATAAATTAGACTGGTGACAGCGCTCTGGGCCAACGCACCACACGAAACCATGCGAAGTCAACGCAGGCAGCCCTCTGAAGACAATTTATCGACTCCTGCAAGCGGAGACCCCTTCGTCGACTTCTGTCACCCCAAGACTTCATCTCACATCACATCTGCGGACTTCGACATCAAGCACGAAGCCAGTCTTCCCTGCCGAGCTGACTTCTCTCCTCCCTCAGCACACAGTACTTCAACACCTGTCGGTCCTTAACATCTGTTGCAGTCGCCTGACACCTGCAACACTGCCCTGCCAGTACCTCAAGGTGAGTTCCTTTATCCTCGTTGTTCTCATTTGTTTAGGAAATCCCCTGCGATGTGAAGTGTCTCTCGCGAGCACCCGTGTCCCTCCCCTCACAGAATAGATCTTCCCTCAGATGACATCTGTCTCCCGCTCACTCATGCTTGCGTTTGCCTGACTTCCCTCTTAAGTACTCTCATTCCTCTGCAGTTTGTCTACCTACGAGTACTTTTATTGTTTTCATGTTAATCTAAGTCGTTGATGATTTCCGAATCCACAATCTTTCCTGCATTGTTTGCACGTTTTAATAACTATCTTCATAGGAAAATCTCTTGCTTCCTAGCATGCTACTGCTCTGTAATCATGGGGAGGATACCCCCCCCCCATCCCATCATTACACTCAACCTCCCACCCCTACACCCACTCCCACCCACTCCATCACAAGATTCCCAGCAGGCAAAATCTGGGGCAAAACGTCAAGAGATAAGCGAGTGAATATAAAAAAGAAAAAGAAAAAAAGAAACCCAGGCATCACTCGCATCTCTGTCCGCTCGCCAATAATTATCGTCCGATCGAGTTTGCAAACGGCGGCGTCCCTCGACCTCGTTAAAGGAACTAATTGGGGGAGCAAAGTGCATCTGAGCTGCTCATGTCTCGTCACACACGCGCGGCGCACACACATGCAACACGCACACGTTTGTACACATGCAACTTTTTCTTTCACGCACGTACAAATCTCCAATGATATATATGTACGCAAACATTGGTAAGTTTATATGTACTTATATATAAGTCCATATACAGACAATTGTAAATGTAAACAAACGCACACGTAATGTATACACACTATCGTACTATGCACGCACACATAAGCACAGGTGACATGTACGATGACGTATTAAACGTGTACACCTACGCACAGGTGGCATTCACACGTGAAAATATACATACAAACATACACATACATACACACACAGGTGTACATACACAGATGCACACACAGTTGTACGTACACAGATGCACACACAGGTGTACGTACACAGATGCACACACAGGTGTACGTACACAGATGCACACACAGGTGTACGTACACAGATGCACACACAGGTGTACGTATACAGATGCACACACAGGTGTACGTACACAGATGCACACACAGGTGTACGTACACAGATGCACACACTGGTGTACGTACACAGATGCACACACAGGTGTACGTACACAGATGCACACACAGGTGTACGTACACAGATGCACACACAGGTGAACGTACACAGATGCACACACAGGTGTACGTACACAGATGCACACACAGGTGTACGTACACAGATACACACACAGGCTTACGTACACAGATGCACACACAGGTGTACGTACACATACGCACACAGGTGTACATACACAGATGCACACACAGGTGTACATACACTGATGCACAAATACAGGTATACGTACACAGATGCACACACAGGTGTACGCACACAGACGCACACATAGATGTACGTACACAGACGCACACATAGGTGTACGTAAACAGATGCACACACAGGCGTACGTACACAAATACACACTGGTGTGCGAACAAAAATACACAACGCGTGTACACAACTACACACAAATATATGTACGTACACAACTACACACAAATGTACGTACAAAACTACACACAGGTGTACGTACACAACTCCCCAGAGGTACACGTAAACAAACACACACGAAGTGACGTACACACACCCCCACACACGCAGGTACGTACGCACCCTGATACACAAACAAACACACGCGTAGATCCGACATCCGCATCTGCCTGACACGGGGAATAACCACCAAAAACACTGATAAAAAACGCCGAATAAAACAGTAGAAAAAAACACACACGCACGAAAAGCATAAGTCAAACACCTCTCGCCAACTCGTCATTCTCTCACCCTTAAGAGAGAGAAGGAAAAAAAAAATAAAAAATAAAAACTCGAAAATTTGTATAAATAGAAACCGAATCAAAGAAATAAATAAAACAGAACAAAAAACACACAAGCAAATATAAACTAAAGACTATTCTTCTTCTTCACTCTCTCTCTTCCTCCTCTTCTTATTCTTATCTCTCTCATTCTTCCTCTTCTTCCTTATCTCTCTCATTCACTCTCATTCTCACTCTTCACTCTTCCTCCTCTTCCTCTTCTATCTTATCCACCTCTCCTTCCTCCCCTCTCTCTCTCTCTCTCTCCTCTCCTCTCCCTCTCTCCCCCCTTTCGCGCTGGCGGATAACCAGCGTCGGATAAACCCGAGCCTCGTGTCCGTGGATAATAATTTGGTCCTTACGGCCGCCCCGCTCGGTCGAAAGTCGTGTCCCTGGCTAATGGCGGAGGATTCTCTGCCGTAGCGACACACACCAAGGGCGATCTCCCTATCCGATTCACTTACATTTTCAACTTCCCTCGGGCGACGGCGTGCGGAGCTCCGGCGGCCTTGCTCCTCGCGGGGGGAGGCGTTGACAAGTGCGAGGACGGCGTTGGACGAGGTGTGCGGCGCCCGAGGTCGAGGATAAGACGGGAAATAACGCTCAACTTGGCGAACAAAGAGGCGAAAATGGCGGCGTCGGGAGGACGGGCGAGTCCACTGTCGCGCGGGCGGGGGAGGACTCTCGCAAACTGTCGGCGGCGGTTGGGCGCGGAGTTCGGGGCGGCACGGCGTTTTGGGGCACGTCGGCGGGGCGAATGGAGGGTAAGGAAGGTGTCGGACATAAGGCTAAGGGACATGGGTACGTGGTAAGCTGCAAATCGGAGTAATTCTAATACAGGGCCAGTGACAGCAACACAGAAAACGGGACTCGTCGGCGTCAGAGAAAACGGAGGAGTCGCGGTCGATGCGTGGGGGAGGGGCTCGCGGGGGGGGGGGACGAGGGGACGAGGGAGGGACGGGGAGTGACGGATGGCGAAGGGGGGGGGGGGGGGCAATGTGACGGGCAGGGAGGAGGGAGCGGAGGGTGAGTGGGTGACGGAGGGTGGAGGGCGAGGGAGACGGAGGGCGAGGGGGAGGCGACGTGATGCGGGAGAGAGGGAGGGAAGGAGGGAGGGAGGAAGAGAGGAAGAGAGGGAGGGAGGGAAGAGGGGCGACAACAGGGATGGAACAAACATCGCGCAGTCGCATCTTATACCAAATATAAAGAAAAAAAGAGAGAAACCTGGTATGTGAAAATACCCAAGCACTTTGAACCCCAGCGAGTCAAAAGTGACCGATAACTAATTTCATGCAAGGATGGATTTTCAAGCAATAACCGTTAAGATGCCGCTCGAGTCCAGTCAGCAATTGTCTTGGCATGATTTTTTTCTCGATCAAAACGTCACACATTCATAAAAAAAGCGTCTTATTTACCTTCATGTTTACAGGACTCTCCCAAATCCTCGGGAAAGATCATAGGAATTCCTTAAAATGGTCCCAGAAAAAAATACTTACCACGGGAAATTAAAATATTAAAGCGCTGATTCAGTAGATAGACCTTAACTTCCGTCTAGCATTTTCAAACTTCCAATATTGTTGCAAAATAAAGATAAAAGTTTGTACTTTATTTCCTTAGAGATTCCTGTAAGAATAGTCATTGACAATATAAAAGATGAAAATATGTGATTTAATAAAATAGGGGAGAAGGAAAATACGTGATGATTAGGGAGAGGAAAGGGAAGAAAAGATAATAATTATGGGCATGACCTCACACGTAAGAATAAAGAGGGGAGGGAGCTGTTGATGAAAGAAAAAAAAATGACCTGACTGATTATGTGAGATTTTGCCGGTAATTAGGAACTATTACAGCAGGTATTAAGCAGGTGCCAGCGAGACCGAGTGAGGGCATTCCTAGCCATTCAATACCCTGCAGGAGTGGCATTATGAGAGACAAATAGCCGAGGGAAAGTCGCAGAGAGGAAAATAAGCGCCACAACTCGGCCCAACTATGCGAGGAAGGTGACAAGCAAGTTAGCCGGAGCGCCGACAGGCCGGGATGGGAAGATGGGAGCATGAATATGGATTTACGCACATATGGCCTCCGCGGCGAACGAATTCCACTGCCGCAGGAGGGAGGGAGAGAGAGAGAGAGAGAGAGAGAGAGAGAGAGAGAGAGAGAGAGAGAGAGAGAGAGAGAGAGAGAGAGAGAGAGAGAGAGAGAGAGAAAGAGGGGGCGAGAGAGAGAGGGGCGAGAGGGAGAACGAGAGCACAAAAGAGAGAGAGAGAGCACGAGAGAGAGATAATGAGAGAAAGGGAGGAGAAAGAGAGAGAGAGAAGAGAGAGAGCGAGAGCGAGAGCACGAGAGAGAGAGAGAGAGAATTAGAGAGAGGGAGGGAGGGAGGGAGCCCCTCCAGCAGGCTGTTCATACTGCCACCCATCCGGTGGAGACGAGGGTTAATGAACGCTCCTGGTCTTTTACTTTTTTCCCCAGCGTGAAATAGCCGAAGCCTTTGGACAAAATGCACGTCAGGATTCAAACAATTTTATATTTCGCTTCGTCCGCTGACTCAACGCGAACACACTTCTGTTTTGTTACAAACGTCATAACTTCCCTCTCCGATGAACCTGTCACAGGCAGGCACAACGGTTTCGAATAAACAAAACTGACATCTATTGTACACTGTTACTGTATCTATAACCTGTAGAACCGATACTGTCCAGCAGTATAAAATTATACATTTCATGGAGAAAAACTAAGCCATATTTTCCAATAAATGTTGTCTCCATATCTAACACAACCCATGCAATTTTTATTTTGTGTTGATCTGCAATATTCTGCACACCGCACACGCGAGCATGTTATATTGCAGAGAAATCTTGCATCTCTTCCACGCGTTTCCCTATGAAATTCTCTTTTTTTTTCTAGGGCAAAAAGAAGAAAAAACACACATATATATTTATATAAATTTACACATACAAATATAGATATATACATATACATATATAAACACAAACATATATATATATATATATATATATATATATATATATATATATATATATATATATATATATATATATATATATATATATATATATATATATATATATACAGTATGTATACACATATATAGCTAAATTTGAAAAGCATGATAAGGAAATAAATACGGGAAATGTCAGACGAATTATTGCAATGCAACAATAGATTTTCACGCGTAAAACAGTCATAAAAGACAAAACGAAAATTCTCTTTGTCATTTGAGAAAGACTCGTGCAGGGAACCTTATCGGTGTGAATAGTATGCTATTCGTCATTACAGACTCGCAGCATATTCAATCAGCATGAATCAGATTATC